TTTGCAATGTAAGCGCAAAAAAATGTGTTTATTTACGACATCACATTACAAACCTTTAAAATTATCAGTGTTTCTCTACTGTATTATGCATGTATTATACATATAAACCTTCCTCTTGAATTACTCTATCTATTAAAAAAACCGCATAAAAATCCGTTGCGTAGTTTTAAAGATCTAAGCATACATAGGGGCAGACAGCGGGGGAAATGCGTTGCATGATTTCGTTACATAGCAACTCGCATAAAACGAACTTACTCTACCGTGCGTAAAGAAGTTTCACTTCAAAAACACGTTGCGAATTCTGAAACAAAATAAATACTAATTTTGTTTATCTCTCTTGTATTCATTGTATATTGTTATTATTTCACTTCAAAAGATATATTAATTTTTTCTTTTACTTTAAAAGCAATAATAGATTTTATTATTAGTTATTCAGAAGTTTTTATATTCTAAATTATGTCAGCTGTTACGACAAACTTATTTTATAGAATCCATGTTATGTCAGGTAAAATTGATGGCGAAGTAACCTCTAGACATGACGAAACATTCGAATCGAACATACGATACGCTGCTGACATTTTGGAAAAGAACAACATCGTCGGCCTTCTCGAACCAATAAATAAGTATTCTGTGCCGAATTATTACATGAATTCATTCCCAAAAGGTAATTTAAATATAAAATAGTATTATAAGTTATCCATACTGGTAGCACTGTGTTCTTGGCTCCGTGACATTTTTACATGCAAGTGAAATTGTAGTAGCGTGCCTTTTAACATCAGTTGTGACCACTTAATTAATATGTGTATTCGACAATGATTTTATTGAATACTAGCCCGTGCTTCTCTAGGTACTTACAATTTTCAACCCCCATTTATTCCGCAAACCTACCTCTATGAATTTAAATCACTTCAGCGATAGCTGACCATTTTTTTTTTATGTTTATTTTAGCCTCGAGGAGGGGAAATCTTCTAAAGACACCCCCCCAAGGGGGGTAGTGTCGGATTCACTCCTGAAGGGAGCGCCTACCGACTAAAAACCCTCCTCGAGATGGCAGTTGGTTATAACTACCGGGAGAAGATGGGAGAAGTTTGGGGAAGGGGAGAGGGTTGAGAGGGAGATGGGTAAAGTGGTGAGGGAGGGAGGTTGGGGAGATGGACTATGAAGAGGGTGGCCCAACACTAAAGGGAAGGATGGGCACTCGCGCTGATAGCTGACCATTATGTTGTCGGTTTAATAGTCCAGTCGATCTTTCGAGAAACTCTACAAGTTTAAATTTAAACCATTGTTTAGTAGTCGGGAGGACACCGCATTGATTCAGGGTCCGTTTGCCCTAGTCTAATTTTTATGTGGTTTCCTTGAATCACGTGGACAAATCCACTCTCTTCTGTCTTCATTTCGTACGTCTCATCTTTCTAACACCAACCACCACCCACCTAATTCCACAATTTCTAAGAGGAGGCTATAGAGTAGGTGACCATACGTCTCGGATTGGCCGAGACAGACTCGGATTTCCACCTTGCGTCCCGGATTCAGGTTTTTTGTCCCGGATTGTCCCGAATTTTTGAAAAGGTTCTTATTATAATATTTATTTTAAATATATTTCAACTAGGATTATTTTTACAAAATTTGAACCGAAAAAATTGTGCATATCAAAATACACCACTATGGGTTGAAATTGAATCTTCGCTATTACTTGTTAATAAAATTACGACAGCCCATCAAATATCTGAAAATGATATACAGGTATACGACGAGTATGCTTATATGGAAGTACCTATACGTTACGGAAGAGAAAATTGCCGAATGGAAAAATAACCGAACTGCATCAATCCAAAGGTGGGTTGAAATGGTCTCTCACATTAATAATCGTGAACTTCTATTTTCAAATTTACGAAAATTAGCAGAGTTCTTTTTCTGCCTGCCTGGCACAAATGCTTCTACGGAAAGAATATTTTCTTTAATGAATAGCCTTTGGACAAGTGACAAGACTCGACTTGAAATAGACACACTAAAAGCGATATTACTTACTAAAGTTAATTATGAAGAAAATTGTACAGAATTTTATACAATGCTTCAAAGTAAAAAAGACCTACTGAAAAAGATCCATAGTTCAGAAAAATATAAAAAGTTTTGTACTCATTAAAAGAAATATTAAAAAAATCATATTTAAGTTATTTAACTTAACTACCCCCGCTACAAGTTCCCGTCCCGGATTTGAAATAAAAAAATATGGTCACCTTACTATAGAGGCACTTCCGTCCTACCCTTTGGCGAAGTTCGGAGAGAATGCCCGTCCACCAGCGTTAGTAACTAATGGAAACGAGAGCCATTCTAGAATTCTTAAAGCGTATGAAGCCAATTCCACCACTGACACATAATGGTGCTCGAAATCCCAAATTTTTCCGATCCAATTTACTCTCGAATTTCCACCTAAGAGCAGTCCTAGACATTCAATAACATTCTAGCTGAAGGCCAAGCCAGAAACACTCAGGAACATTCTAGTAGATTCTCACTTATTCTCAACACATGTTTGGTGGCCGATGGTTTACCATGTTTGAAATATATGAAAATTTCTTGGTATAATAGTGTCAAAAGCCTATTCCACCACTATCACATAATGGACTTCGAACTTCTAAACTTTCTTGGATTTGCTCGAAGTAGATGGAAATTTCGTAGGTAGTATAATAATGACGCCAACTTTATCACTGACACATTATGGTCCTCGAATTTCGAGACGTTTCTGAATTCTTCCGATCCGATTCACTCTCGAATTTCCACCTAAGAACAGCCTAAAACATTCAATAATATTCCAGCTGAAAGCTAGTGGATTCTGACTTATTCTCAACAGGTGTTTGGTGGCTGACAGTTTACCAGTGTTTGAAATTTCCTAGGATAATAGTGTTAGAAGCTAATTCCACCACTCATACATAGTGGTCCTCGAACTTCCAGAACTTTTTAAATTCTTCCGCTACAATTCACTCCCGAATTTCCACATGAAGGCATTCCTAGACATTCAAAAACATACTTGCTGAAGACCGCTCTAGAAACATTCAAGAGCATTCTAATATATTCTTACTTATTCCCAACAGGTGTTTGGTGACCGAGGGTTGACCCGCAAAACCGCACACACGTCAAATTTTGTTCTTATGAGATATTCCATATTTCACATTTTTAAAACACTGGTCGAAATATATGAATACAAATTTCAAACTTCACTCCATTACATTTTGAATTGGTTCAAATAGATCGTGAACCCGACTACGTCATTCACGCACCCCTTAGGAAGTAGAAAATCTAAGAAATGTAGAAGAAAGTTCTTACACATTAAGTTGTGTTCTTTTTAATAACATTTTTGTTAAATAACATCCCTCGACGTTTGCGCCCCTGCTAATTTTTTGCATCAAATTTGTTATTTTAATTAATGAAAGGGCATCGTCCGATAAATACACGTTTTGTGTAAAGAGTAAATTGTTTACTGTTTTTCTTTTTCAGCTATTTCTCTTATCGAAAAGATTAACAAACCAAGCATTCGATTACAATTTGATATTTTCCACATACAACAAATACAAGGTGATATTAAACATACATTAGATTCAGTGAAAAAGTACATTGGTCACGTTCAGATAGCTCAGGTTCCGGATAGGAATGAGCCTGATACTCTTGGAGAAGTAAATTTTCATTACATCTTTAAAATACTTCAAGACGCAGGCTATAATGATTGGATCGGATTGGAATATAAACCAGCAAAAGAAACAGTCCAAGGTTTGAAGTGGATTAAAGAATACGGTTATCAGTTGTAAAATCTTACATATATTAGTTTCTAAAATAAACGTCTCATTGGGGAAGTTCAATACAACAATTTTATTCATTTACTTTATTTTGTTTATTGTATAGTTTACCCATTCCTATATTTCATCGTTTAAAAATGTGAATTACGTAATTTATTGGTAGATACTACTCAGAAGTAAGTATAGTAACTACTATAATTAATTATGATTTCGTAAAACTAAATTGATAACCACTTATATCTTACGGGTATGCTTAATGCCAGATTAATGCAATTCTAATTTTACAACAATAAAAAGATTAACTTTCATAGAAATTTAGGAAATTGAAATAAAATTTATCAGTATATAGTAAATTCGTATTGAAAAAAAAAGTAAATAAGCAATAATAATGTATTTTTTAATCAAATGATGGCAGAGTTTGATTGACGACTAGTATTTTTGTATGTTGGATGTTTTCGACTTTACCGGACGAAAAAAAATTTTTTTTATATATGACCTCGCATAACTTTTTACAGACAGACAGAGAGCCCGATTTTGATAATTATTTTTTTATTGGAAAGCGTATACTCCTAGCAGTAGTAGTGGCAATAGCAGTAGCAGTAGCAGTAGCAGTAGCATTAGCAGCAGCAGTAGCAGTAGCAGTAGCAGTAGCATTAGCAGCAGCAGTAGCAGTAGCAGTAGCATTAGCAGCAGCAGTAGCAGTAGCAGTAGCAGTAGCATTAGCAGCAGCAGTAGCAGTAGCAGTAGCATTAGCAGCAGCAGTAGCAGTAGCAGTAGCAGTAGCATTAGCAGCAGCAGTAGCAGTAGCAGTAGCATTAGCAGCAGCAGTAGCAGTAGCAGTAGCAGTAGCATTAGCAGCAGCAGTAGCAGTAGCAGTAGCATTAGCAGCAGCAGTAGCAGTAGCAGTAGCAGTAGCATTAGCAGCAGCAGTAGCAGTAGCAGTAGCATTAGCAGCAGCAGTAGCAGTAGCAGTAGCAGTAGCATTAGCAGCAGCAGTAGCAGTAGCAGTAGCATTAGCAGCAGCAGTAGCAGTAGCAGTAGCAGTAGCATTAGCAGCAGCAGTAGCAGTAGCAGTAGCATTAGCAGCAGCAGTAGCAGTAGCAGTAGCAGTAGCATTAGCAGCAGCAGTAGCAGTAGCAGTAGCATTAGCAGCAGCAGTAGCAGTAGCAGTAGCAGTAGCATTAGCAGCAGCAGTAGCAGTAGCAGTAGCATTAGCAGCAGCAGTAGCAGTAGCAGTAGCAGTAGCATTAGCAGCAGCAGTAGCAGTAGCAGTAGCATTAGCAGCAGCAGTAGCAGTAGCAGTAGCAGTAGCATTAGCAGCAGCAGTAGCAGTAGCAGTAGCATTAGCAGCAGCAGTAGCAGTAGCAGTAGCAGTAGCATTAGCAGCAGCAGTAGCAGTAGCAGTAGCATTAGCAGCAGCAGTAGCAGTAGCAGTAGCAGTAGCATTAGCAGCAGCAGTAGCAGTAGCAGTAGCATTAGCAGCAGCAGTAGCAGTAGCAGTAGCAGTAGCATTAGCAGCAGCAGTAGCAGTAGCAGTAGCATTAGCAGCAGCAGTAGCAGTAGCAGTAGCAGTAGCATTAGCAGCAGCAGTAGCAGTAGCAGTAGCATTAGCAGCAGCAGTAGCAGTAGCAGTAGCAGTAGCATTAGCAGCAGCAGTAGCAGTAGCAGTAGCATTAGCAGCAGCAGTAGCAGTAGCAGTAGCAGTAGCATTAGCAGCAGCAGTAGCAGTAGCAGTAGCATTAGCAGCAGCAGTAGCAGTAGCAGTAGCAGTAGCATTAGCAGCAGCAGTAGCAGTAGCAGTAGCATTAGCAGCAGCAGTAGCAGTAGCAGTAGCAGTAGCATTAGCAGCAGCAGTAGCAGTAGCAGTAGCATTAGCAGCAGCAGTAGCAGTAGCAGTAGCAGTAGCATTAGCAGCAGCAGTAGCAGTAGCAGTAGCATTAGCAGCAGCAGTAGCAGTAGCAGTAGCAGTAGCATTAGCAGCAGCAGTAGCAGTAGCAGTAGCATTAGCAGCAGCAGTAGCAGTAGCAGTAGCAGTAGCATTAGCAGCAGCAGTAGCAGTAGCAGTAGCATTAGCAGCNGTAGTAGTAGTAGTAGTAGTAGTAGTAGTAGTAGTAGTAGTAGTAGTAGTAGTAGTAGTAGTATTAATAATGCAATGGTTATTTCCTTAAATTTAAGGTAATTAGTGATCATTGTTTATTGATTGTTTAGCACCGACTCAAAATTACTTAGGTATACTTACATTAGTTGAAGAACTTGGTTATTAGTAATTTTTGTTAAAATTAACATTTAAGAACCAAAAAAATAATAATTTTGTAATTTTTTTGATTTAAAAGTACCTATTTGTTAAATATTTTTTTATTTAATTTACACTTTTGAAAACTTCTTTGTATAAAGTTTTAATAAATAACGAAAAGCAGAATATAACGATTCTCTTGTGGAAATTACTGTTTCTTTTATAAGACTACTGCAGTTGTGTTGAATTACTTTTCTTTTTTTTAATTATGAAACTTCATGCGGTTGCCTTTCGAAGATGTAACATATGGTTTGTAAGTATATTTAACATCTTGTCCCATTTAACATTATCAAAAGCTTTTTCTGAATCTACAAATCCCACGTAAGCACTCGTTCCTTTTCCTATCGTTTTCTCTATTGTTACCCGTAAAGCTTCAATGGCGTTAAAAAGAATATGAAAAAAATTTTCTAATGACACATGTAATAAAAAAGTTGTGTTTGAAAGTCGAAGAAAGAAATTTATGTTGTTCAGTAAGTAATATTCATTTTATATATCAGAATGAATGTGATATGTTCTAATTAGTCACAATCGAATCTTATAATATATTTCAAAATTGAAGAAAATGTTACCATCAATAATGTTCAATTTTGACGCCCCTGACGAAATTCGAAAAACTCTACTGATGAACACCCGTGTATTATTAGATATAATTTATGTAATAATCTCAGATAACACATCCCGAAAGGCAAATTTATATTGAAGTAACTTTTCTACTTTATTAATTTAATTTTTCTCTCCAAATCTCAAATTAATTTGGAATGTTTAACACACTGAATTATCCAAAACGATTTCGCCTGAATAAAAGGTAAGTATGTAATTAATTTCTTTTTCGTTTAAATTTGATCCCTTTTTGGGAAACCTGAACGTTTGTATATACAGATTTCATTTAACTGATGTTAATTTGAAAGGAATGAAGATGTTTTAGAATTACAAAGGAACGTTTCATATTTGTTCATACGTAATATTTTGGAGTCGAATATACATGCATGGAATTGGACACTGAACTGTATTGTAATTTCTTGAACCACTCGCTTACGTCATTTATTCTTTTTTTTTCTGAAGAGGGCATCTCTTTTCTGTTAGTTATATATGTATATGTATACCTCCACTATACAATTCAGTGTGTTCAACTTATATATACAGTATACAGTATGTCCTAAGATGGGACTTAATTTGCTTCTGACAGAAAAAATATATGCAGGTGATGCCTGTTTTTAAAGATACGGGTAATTGCAGTTCCAAACATATACAGTGTAAACTCTATATAACACTTAAAAGGGACTGAATATTTTTCGGCGTTATAAGGAGTGGTCGTTAAATGGAGAGAAATAAAAGATATTATTTTACTATTCTATAATAATATGCATTTACCAATATAGTACACATTTTGCACTGAACATTGTTATTTATACATTGCCTGTTATCTTCGTGTGATGTTTTTTGCTGCTCCAATATTTAATTGTATTTTGTTACGTATCTTACTCATATCTTGAGATACTGCTGAATCAATTTGATTATATAAAAAGTATTTTTTTAATAGTTTCGCTGCATCAAGTGCTTGTTTGATGCTTGGTGGAGGGACAGGATCGTCTTCTTCAACAACGTACACAGCTGCAGTTCTTATCTATTTCGGCAACTTAGAAAGTACTGCTCAATGATTTATAATGCCGCATTGTTGTCGTTAAATAGAGTGAGCGTGACGCTATATAGAGTGTAATATTGTATAGAAAACAATGTAAACCAACCAAAGTCAAGCAATTTCGACGTTTTAAGGAGTTTGTCGTTAAATCGAGTGACGTTATAAAGAGTTTACACTGTCTTTAGTAAGTAGGTATACATTTTTCATCTTACAGATTCATCTAGAAAAGAAAACGCTGATTGGAAATCCAAGCACGAAAAGAACTTCAACAATAACAAAATTTGCATACTGTTTAGTATTTGCGTTAATTTGAGGACGAAAATCCTCAAGTTTTAAATCGCCTCAATTTTTGAGATTACTTAGTCTTTTGGCAATAATGTCATTGCATTTTTCAAAATATTGTAGCAATCGTTAATTTTGAGACTGAAGTTAAACTTTTGAAGTTGAAATTGATGTTGAAGTTGGAAGGATGCTTGAAATGAATACACTAACTCGCTGGGTTATATAATATATGGTACTCTTTCAGTACTCAGGGCGGCAGAGATCACGAGGATCGGTATGATACTCTGATGCACACCAAATTGAAATGATGGCGTCCTCCTGGGTAAAACACTCCGGACGTAAAGTAGTCCCCCTTTCGGATGTCCAGGCGAGGACTGCCTCGGGGGATGTCATTAATAAGTGCAATAGGGCTAGGTGCAATATTTCACGAGTCGGAATGTGGAATGTTAGCAGTGTTGCCAATTCGAGGGATTTATCCCTATTCGAGGGATTTTTGACGTTCTCGAGGGATAAAGGGATTTTTCCTTATTTTTGCGGGATTTTTTGTAATTTGCCATTTTCTGGTTGGTTTTGTTTGATTTTGGTGACATCATATGATATTATGAAGGCGCTCATTTTTCTAATTGTAAACGTAAAATTTTGTCAGCTATAATCGTATAATGCTGTACGATGAAACGGTTGATATACGACGGCGACGTGCGTTCAAGCCTACTGGTGCAGCCTGCAGGTACCTGCTCAAGTCCCTACGATAAATTGTCTTGAACTTTTTTGAATTGTATATTGTTTTCGTATCATTGTATGGTCTTCAGCAAACATCTTGAAAGTGACCAGTCAACAGATCAGAAAAAGATGTTAAAATTAATAAAAATAAATGTTTGAATTGGTGTATTGTTCCAAAATCCGAACATCTAAACATCTAAACCCCCAAGGCCTGGTTTTGTCTGCATTTTTGGGAAACGAGATAACTACATACAATAAAATTATCGGTATTATACTATCGACACGAAAAGTTGTCCATGTTTACAAAAATATTGTATATTTTTTCTTCGAATAAACGATTAAATTAACGAATTAAAAAATAATAATAGTAATAAGTTGGAGGGATTTTTAGAGAAAATATGGGATTTTTTGGACCTGTGCGTGGGATTTTTTCCTGTAGTAGGTTGGCAACAGTGAATGTTAGGACAATGAAGCAGGTATGGAAATTGGAAAATGTAAAAGTTGAGATGAATAGATTAGAATTAGATATAGTAGGTATTAATGAAGACTTTAGAATAATATTAGAGGCAGAAAAGGGAGTTAGTAGGGGCAGAGGTAGACCTAGATTAGATTACTGTTCGCAAATAGTTAAGGATGTGGGTAGTTCTAGTTTTAGGGAAATGCGAAGATAATCTCAGGATAGGAAAGAGTGGAGGTGCGTGTCCAACCAGTCTTAGGACTGACTGATGTACCTTGAAAGATACACTGGTGTAATATAAATAACAATGCAGACAGGTTACAAAAGGTACATGTCGAATTAGTGAGATTCCAGTTGTTGTGTCCCGCGACTATGTCGCTCACACGCTCACTTCCAAGCAAGTAAACCAGTACTAACTTTTTGAGAACAACTTTATTCTTTATTACTTACACTTAACTTAATTTATACTTAACACTTAACTTAAAATAAAAAATGGAAAAGACGTAGAAAATGTGGTATGTTGCAAGAACAGGATTAGAATTAGAACTCCTCGAAATTTTGTACCTGCTCCCTTTTATAGGAACGCTAGAGATAGCGCCATTTAGGACACTTCTCAGAAAAAAGTTTCAAGTACGATGCTAATTTTATAGCACCAAGTGCACAAAGTTTGGCTTCGTTTTACAACGGCAAAAAAAATTCAAATAAGTAAAATTACATTCTCTAGTTAAGTTTAAATCTTGATATTTCTTGTTAAATAATGATATGTGATATAATAATGATATGGGATATCTGATGATTATCTAAAGAGATATGAAACGCTTATTAAACTAATAATTAATGTGTGGAATATAACACAGTTGAAAGTGATGTGAGATTAACTGAATCTGAATCTGGCCTCAAATGTACAGCGTCAATCAGCGCTTAAATACATATATTGTTTATGACCTATACTGACCTGAACAGGCCAAAGCTCAACTTCCTATAATTCTTGATTCTCAGCTTACCCTCAACCCAGAAGTTAAAAGCTCGTTTATGTTCGAATTCCCCTCGTATACAATAAAGTATACGTACATATGTATGAGATGTAAGGCAACTCTCCAAGTTTTTACTTCAGCCCCTCCCAATTGCAAACCCTAGAACCGCCACTGCTAATTGAGATTAGTGTAGGTATTAGGCTTTCGCGGTATTATCCTTGGACTAGTCTGATCCACTTGGAGATATGACATCATATCAAAAAATTGCGGTGCACGAATGAGCTCATGGATTATTTATTAGTAAACAATGCGTATTACTCACTTCCAGTTAGCTTTTATGCTGGGTTGTAGAAAAACAGTGACGGACGCCTCCTTGCGTGAGCTCACGTCGTTACACGTTTGTTTGTGTTTAATATTAAAGGCAGCTGAACGGCGCGCTTCAAACGAATTGTGCGGTTCGTGCGAGGACGTTTTTGGGGCAAATCCTTGGTAGTTTTGTGATCGATATTTTCTCAATTCAGTCCCGTTTTAGTCATCTTCGAGTGCTTCTTCGGCTTAATAGTTAAAAATAAAACGCAAATATCAACATGGGTGTAAGCAGATTGTCTATTATCAAATTTTTGGAATTGGTAAGTGTTTATTTTTATTTTTAATTGTTATAGACATTTGCCCAAACTCTAGAATGAAAGTAGTATAAAAAATATGATGCTCTTAAATCTTAAAATTATCTGCACATTTTATATTTGTTTCATATTTTACCGTTAATAGTCCAGTCATATCACGGGGTTCACCTTGCAATTAGAGATTTTATGTGACTTTTGATACAATATTTAGAATGCCAAAATAAGAGTTTATATAAGTTTACAGCTTATTATCTCTCAGTCCGAGGTTGACTCTCTTTTTTGACTAATTGTTACCATGTATATCAAACAAAAATAATTTAACAAATTGTCCACTTTTTTAATAACTTTTGGCAATATTTATCAATATTTACGGTGTTTGGAGAATAAACAGAATTATTTCTTTTTAATAATGTAAAATAGAAATTTAGACTCAAATAAACACTTCTTTGAGAAATGGATTTCAGTATATGCGTTCCGAAAAAAATAATAAAGCAACAAGAGTAGGTATTCTCTTTTGACTTTTGAAAATATTTCCTTAATAAAGCATGAAAAAATGAACTTGTAAAGTACTACCTACTTTATTAAGAAATAAAAAACCATTTCCTTGCTTAATTATTCAGAAAATAGTATAACTTCTAAACTGAATTAATCATAAAAATTTATTTGAATGATTTCAGAAAGTTCTAGCGTCTACCTAATAATAATTTGAATTTTATTTTTTTATTTGTGCCTTCAAGGAATTGCGTAGTATCCTTGAACTGATTAGTACCCAATTTTTGTCATTATCGCACTTTTATTGACAGTTTACGTGAATCAAATTCAACGAAATGTAATAAACAATGTACCTCTACACTAATAAATAAAATGGATCAGGATTAGTTATATTAGATTCTGTATTTAAAAATAAAATACACAATTGTAAATTTTTTTTTAAGTTTTAACTATCTATTTAAATGTTATTGATTAATCCTTTAAACTTTATGAAGTTTGAATTGTAAAAATTTATTGTAACTTTTTTAATCATGACGTTTTCAAAATCTTTCTAAATTTCATTATTCTTCAAATTTCAATGAATTTTGACTTTTTTCCTTACCAATAAAAATATTTTTCTAATAAATATTTGCAATAAGTGATATTATCTTTTTGCTCAAAAGAATCGTTTTCTTTGAAATTAACTAAAACAACTTTTTGATCTATTAACACTTTACAGGAAGTTGTTACTATTCATTATGATATCAGTTCACTGTATATGTATTAATTGTAATAGTCTTTTTGTTGTTACCTAATCATAGTTATTTCATTTGCTGCTATGTAAAAATTTTAGTCAGGTTTCAGCTATCACGGTAATTGAATTCTTTCTTGATTGGCGCTGTGAATAATTTAAATGATTGCAACATGAGCTATAAATAAACGTGATGTTCTTTTGAATTAGTAAACATGTCTTCTATCTCCATTATTACTGATGATTAGATGTTTTTAACTTTTTATACATTCATGAATGATCTATATTGTCATTTTATCTGTTTTACTACTGGTTTCTTAAAAGATAATCATTAATTTGTAGTTTCGAAATCAATATTTATGTATTGGCACTCACAATTAATTAAAATCAGTCGTATATGTTACATAAATTATTGTAATATGTCGATCTCAAAAAGAACGAGTGTATAGTAATAATTTCTGTCAGAGGTAATCTTAAATAAAACAGATTTACACTGATAATGCGGTGACTTTTTCCTTGCTTTGTGGTCGATTGACCGCATACTAACGATCGACTGATTGGCCATCCCTAGTATTAGTCCAGTCAATCAATGGTTGAGGGTCTGAATTCGTTTAAGAAAATCCGATTGACCTCAAATTTTCACAGTAAGTAAGAAATAGCACTAGATTCAAAAGTTATATACTGCCAATTTGCGCTTTTGCGAACATAGCTTCCCATTTGAAAAAAATTAGTTATTGATGTTTGAAACATTTAAAATTTGAACATTACTGGTGTAATGATTTAATGTAGGTACTTTAAAAGAAATTTTTAGATGGAAAGCCAAATGCGTTTCATGAGTAATGCAAAGTGATAAAAAATAACTCAATAATAGTAATCGGTGCAACATTTAGAGGTTACTTAGGTGGGCAAAAGATCAGGGTCGACTTTATAACTGCTTGGCTGGAATTATATCTTTAAACAAGCGTCTTTACTTTCCTAAATTCCTGAGAATGTTGAACTTTCTTTAGAGTCCGATGCTGGCAACATCCTCAAATTCAGTTTATCTGCATCTCTTTCTGTTACACATTAATTGGTGTAATGTTATTCCTTTTTCTTTATTAGTGTCCGCTGCAATTCTTACCTGACATCTCTTTTCTATTTACGATATTCCCTACAACATACGTCGTGAGTAAAAGTAGTCGTTCTGTCAGCAACCGCTCTAGTCTATCTGGTAAGTTGAAAGAAGAAAGTAAATGCGACAGTTTTATTGCGGACTGTGCCAATTTTGAACGTCCCTACTATAGTTATTTGCCACTGTAACGTGCTATAAAGAATTTCGTTCCAAAAACTTTTGTGGTGAAATAAATAAGTTGGAATAATTTCGCAGTTTCACCAATAGATACGTATAAAAATCCTTACAATAATCACACTAGACCAAACGTTTACATTTTTTGTTTATTTTTTTTTATTAATCTGTGAACTTTCTACGACGTAAATACCGTTTAATGATACAGAAATGCTTAAGTCACAATATATGTGTATCTATCGCATATTTCATTGCTTCAAATATAATTTTTAAAGCAGTTTTAAAGATTTACGAAAATTGAAAACCATATTTGAGCATATTGTGATGGATATATAAGTAACTATTCATCATTATCATAAGGTCGTCAGTCCTAAGACTGATTGGACACGCACCTCCACTCTTTCCTATCCTGCGCTAATCTTCGCATTTCCCTAAAGTACAGTATTCTAATCTAGGTCTACCTCTACCGCTCCTAACTTCCGTTTCTGCCTCTAATATGTATCTGACTAGAGATTCATGCCTGAGAAGGTGTCCTACCAACCTATCTCGCCTGTTTCTTATTGACTTCCAAAGAGTCCTCTGTTCTCCTATTCTTTCTAATACCTCTTCATTTCTAACCTTCTCTATCCACGGTATTCTCATCATTCGCCGGCAACACCACATTTCGAACGCTTCTAACCTTTTCTTTTCCGCCGCATCCACCGTCTATGTTTCGCACCCGTACAGCGCTATGCTCCAAACATACACCTTTGACAACCTTTTTCGAGTTTCTAAATTAATCGTTCGCGAGCATAGAAGTGACTTCTTTTTATTGAAGGCAACTCGACCCTATTACACTTGGTTTCGCTGCAATATTTTTCTGATGACATGAAAGAAATTAGTCGAACATGAGATATTTATTTTGTCTAAGTTAGGGATTGCTTTGGGAATTGTGGGGACTGGGCGCGGATAAAGTTTTGGGGAACAAAAACACGCTCTTTTTTAGTATACCTGTAAGTAACAGTAGCAGATCCAAGAAGAGGAAATGGGGGGGGAAATTTGTCCTTCTAAAAGCTCTATGACGTATGAATCACTTCAGCACTGTGAAAAATGTTTAAAAAAATTGAAGAGATTTGCCCCTTGAAAATGTATCAATAAAAAACAGAAATATAACATTTTTAACTAATAGACGTGTAAAAATGCTATTCAAGACTGATTCTAGAAGCTACATTTAGGGAAATATTTATTTTCACCCTCCCCCTTCCTCAAGAATTTCATAAAGATTCTGCATTTCCCATATATTGACAATAATTCGAAAATTGTTAATAATAATACTGTGTTTGTAAAAGATATATAATCTATAAATTGAAATCTAAAAATTGCGAATTTTCATTTTTCCAAAGAAAATCGTTTGTTGGAAAAATATTGTTGAAGAGTTAGTAGGTTATTTGTTTAATTAGGTATTTTAAAGATTCTGTATGTTTATAACAGTTGTTTACTATAATCGTAAATATTTCCCACAGCAGGACGATTGTAGGCAGATGATAAATAAGTTGCTAACGAATTTGCATTTTAATAAAATTAATTTTTGCCAGACAACAATTTTTTTGCTATTAGGTACACTTATATTATTAACATGAATTACTTACGGAATTACTTGTTTTTTAACGTCGCATTATTGTAAATTGTTCAACAATTATGTCATTTCTAAATCTAGTCTCTCTTGTCTCTTCAAAGAAACAAAAGTAACTGAAAAAGCCAAAATTTAAGACTGAATTACGTAATCGGTCAATAAAATTTTTACACAAAACGCTTTTTGTAGTTTATTTCTCGCATTTTTTCTTCGACGTCCTTTAAATTAGTGAAAAGTTGAGTACTAGACTATTAAAACCATAACTACACGATTAACCACTTAACATGCACAGAAGAAGTAAATTATACGTGTGCAATTTATTAATAACACACAATGCATCTGAACAATCATTGGTGTGATAAATAATTGTACATATGGAATATATATTCATATTCTTGCTTAAGATGCTATCTAATGTTATTTTCATTGTATCTAGATAAAATACATTAAATTATTATTTTTTGTCATTGCGACAAACCTGAAATTTAATTTATAATCTCTTCCTATGCTACTTCTGTATTTTATTTATTATTTATAATGTTAAAATAGCAGGAAAATTGCCAATTGGCAACAGACCAAAAAAAAATTGCTCAATTTGTAGCTAAATTTCCTTTTTTATCCCAATTTCCAATAAAATGAATCATAAACATTTCTTCCATGTGCAACAAAATCTTAAAAATTGAATTTAAAGTTATTTCTAAAAATTACAAAACACTAAAATCGTTCGTGCTTCAAATAGCTACCAATGACGTGGATGAATGAATATATTAATAAAATTTATTAGTATTAAATTTCATTATTTGAAGACGTGTTTTAATATATTCTATACCGGAAACCATATAAATAGTAACAAAAACTGAAAAAAAAACTAGAAATCAAAAAAATAAATTACAAAGAACTTTTAAACGTAGGATATATAAAAAAAATTAGTCAAATAATCTGATAATTTATACGAAAGTAGTGAAAGTTTTATAACATGCAGGTAGAGGTAATTCAGAATCAAGTGGCCCATGACCTTGGACTGTGCAGACAAAATTTCCTCCTGAAAATTAATCTTTAAGGTTATTCCATAAAGTAAATTATAAAATAAATAAAATATCTTGCAAGTATCTTAGGGTTCAATTTTCAGTTAAGAATTCAATATGGCGCACTCAATATTTGAAAATTCAATAAATTAATGTCAAATGAAAATTCTCAGGAAATAGATATCAAAAATATGTATTAAAGAGCATTAAAAAATATCTGCTAAAGGCATATACGTTTTAAATGCATTTTACGGGTAACTTGTGAAACAAAAAAGTGATTAGTTTACATTAACACCTCAATAAAAATGTCAGATAATACTTATGTATGTATGTGTTAATTATGTTTTTTTTTAGTTATTAATTTTAATAAATCAGAAGACATGTGCAGATAGTTTAACGTAAGAGCATTAGATTTATATTTTTGAATTTATATCTATTTATTAAACTTTTATTTTGAGTCACTCGTATTCATTTGTTTACGTAATTTATTTTCAGGCGTTAGCAGTGGTGTGCCTTGGCCTACACTATAAAAGTATAAGCAATGATTTGCACACTGACCTTGTTTCTGCTACGGCTTTTGGAGGCTACATTATTATTCTCCTGGGAGGATTCGCAGGTAAAAAATCTATTGTTTGAAGACACATTAAGTTTATATATGTAATTAAGACTTCCTATAATAAAGTACTTCTGACTTTTGATGACAAAAAGAAAATAACTGCGTACTTTCTTAGGATCTGCTGTTGAAAATTATGAATTTACATGTTGTATTCTTTGGGATTGTAAAATTGGTCTAAAAATTAAATTAATTGTTATTAGATTTTCAAATTTAATATTCAGTAAGTAATATGTAATCGGAATGTTAAATTTATTTTAAGCATGTGATAACTCTTGGAAGAAAGTTCATAATTTTATTATAACAAACCAGCTGTTCCCCACGACTTCACAACACAAACACCGTTGTATAAGGAATCTTTGTGCAAGCTTCCTGACAGCGGTTTGGACTGTGTCTTTGAACCCTTTTTTCATCTCTTTAGGGGTTGAATTTTAAAAAATCCATTCTTATTGCTCATCTACGTCGCATAAAAGAACGTTTGTCAGTTTATCCTTTTGTATACATACGTATGCAAAGTAGATGTACCTATGTCTACACGGAGAAAATATTAAAGCGATATTTACAATTTATCCGACTAGCCCGTTGCTTCGTAAGCGAAAATAACAAAATAATAAAAATTACAATTTGGATCCGCATTTGTAAAAGTAAAATCTCAGCAGAAATAAATTTACTAGGTATTTTAGTTGCTTATATAAATTTAATTGTAATAATTAAGAAACTTGAAATAATTTTTAAACAAAATTGAGATTATTACAAGTTAAGTTAAATAAATTCTACTATTTCTACGGCAAAAAATCAGTCATTTACAATCGAAAATTGTAATTTTTGCGTTGTCATAAAAATTTATTTTTCTTCGTGTAGAAAACTTACTTTAACAGTAAAAATAAAAATCTACGTAACATTTAATTGGATTTTAGTTTTATTATACGAAAAATTCGTAAGTCTTTAGACATCCTTTTACGAATTACTACAAACAGATCAAAAAGTTCATGGTGGTAACTATTAAGGTTATATCTCCACATCCGCATGATCCGTAGGAATTTTAATATCTGCACCCTCGTCTGCATCCGCACACTTAATCTCATCAAACTTCTCTTCCTCATTCGCATCCCTTAAAGCACATTCCCTTACTTTAATTCTTTGGGAGAAAAGTCTTGATCCCTAAAACCCTCTTCCCCTTAAGCCTATAGGCACCTAAAGGTATCTATGCTAACAAGATCTTTATATTCATTTTCAGGGCACTTAATGTCAACCCCGATAAACAGAAGAATCGACATTTGGTTTTGCCTTGTAGGATGCGCCATTTTTGTAGCAGCGGGGGCACTTAACATTCAACACTTTGAAAATACATGGAAGGGCGAATACAGAAACTACGGCCTTGCTAAAGCCTCTATCGCTATCATAAACGGTGCCATTTTCTTGGTTGATTCCCTTTTGACCTGGCGAGGAGACTACTAAGATATTTACGCCATTAAAGATCAAAAGACAATACTTGATTTATGCTTTCTACTCTCACTCATTGTCAGTACAAATTTATAAACCAAAACTTCTTTTTTATGAGTGTTATCGAATAATACGGGATGTATTCTACCAAAATTGTGTCTTATTTTAAACAGATAACTTTACTTCAGTAGTTTACACATCAAAAAGCCACCCTTACTGTAAATACATGTCAATTAGTTTTTGTTTAGGCTTTCTAGTATAGTTGTAGTTAGTTTGGAGTTTTAGAGTATGCTTAAAGCAAAAAGTTTAAAGAATTTTTGTAATAACTTTATACTTATTTGTCGTTTTAGGAATATCAGAAAAACATAGCTACTTTATTTACTGTGTAAAATTATTACAGTGTTTATACATATTTATATATCTTCATGCAAATGTTGCTTGGTAAAATGAGGTAAGTGTTATTTTTACGGTTATTATTATTGTTAATACTATGTAATAGTTTTATCATCACACTGACGTTATTTTTGAGAAAGTCTAGTCTTTAATTTTATTTCGCTTTATTCAATATTAGTCAGTAAAATAAAAATAATCAATACTGGAAATTGGTAATCGATTCATTGTAAAATTGCTTTAATTACTGTTCTTTTTTACTGTTTTCTAATTTTACGTAAATAATGTTCGATAAAAATCTATAGGTGTGTGTGATTGCAAGTGTTTGCCTAATTCATATCTGATAGACATCAGAATTTTTAGAATTTTTATTATATATCATATATTTATTGTAGTTGTTTACTGAAGTGTTTTGATAATATTGTTCAAAAAAGTTGTTATACAAATATACTGTTGATACTGAGAATTAAAAATTGTCATACTAAGGCCCTATTTTTTTATCTATACAGATTTTACATCAAGGATACTTTTATATGGGTTTACTGCAATCACAATTGATAATAATTGTGTCTACTTTCAAAAACCGATAAATTGTGCTCCGATAAATAGAAAACTATATTTTAGATATGTAGATAACTATTAAAGTATATTTATATTTTTTATTTTTGTAAGTGTACAACATGTTCAGCTTTAGATGTGTAGTCCTTGAAATAAAACTAAACTCCTAAATGTTTGTTTTGATTACTACTACTAGTATGGTGTGTGATCTATATTCGACCAATTTATTATTATTTATTAACAAAATTATGTATGAAACAACTTTGAGACATTAAACTTTTTTATTATATTCATCATCAACTAAATATTATATTATGGTTTCCATTTATTACATAAATATAAGATACC